AATGTCGTGGTCTGGGCGTGGGTTGGAAAAGAATTTCCAGACATGAGACAGAATGAGAGCGAAATGAAGTTTATTAGAGTGGGAGACGCTGTTAGAACAGAGGGCCAGCTCAAGGGAGAACCGACACTGAACAGGGGTCCTTAGTCCACTTTTATACCCAGGGTACAAGGAGTGGGATGGGGGTCATGTGCTGATGGGATGAGGCATGTATACTGGGTGGGGGAAGAGGAGGGCAGAAACCTTCTCCCTATGGGGTAGGAGGGGAGACAGGTTATATTGTTCCATTATAGTTGCAACATGTGGGAGGGAAGGACGCGAAGAGTCTGGGGATGCGAAGAGTCTGGTTTTTCCGTTCCTGTATTCTAAGACCCTCCTTGGTTTTATCTACTCTTTTGTCCTTGGGTCACCACATAGGTGTTACTGTCTGTGGGTGAAAAATAGGCCACAGAGGACAGAGCAGGGCATCTTAAAGGCCAGAGTGGTAGATTTAGGACAGTACTGCACCCAGGGCCCCATTCCTGAAAGAGTTTCCAAGTCCCCATTTAGGAGATAATAACTTAGCACCCTTTTATACTATTTTATCTTCTGGCCAAATGGAAATTATGAGAAACTGAGCAAGAATTTGCATAAATAATTCACAGGAAAAAATCTGAGTAGACAATAGATATATAGTGGTAGCCAAAGAAATGCAAATTAGAAACAACTAATTTTTACTAAAGTGGTAAAAATTTTAGAGGGATAACAAAAAGATGAAGCACTGGTAAGGAAGCACTGAGACTGTTGCTCATGCTCTGCTGGTAGGCATGCACCCTGGGATAATCTTATGGAAAGCAATTTTGCAAAAATGTAATCAGGATCTGCTAAACTTTCATCATCCAGAGTTAGTTCTAAAAAATCTACCTTTTGACTTAATAGTCCTACTTCTCCAAGCATCTATATAAGAATATAATCAGAGAAATTAAGGAAACAATACCATTCACCATTGCAACAAAAAGAACAAAATACTTAGGAGTATATCTACCTAAAGAAACAAAAGACCTATACATAGAAAACTATAAAACACTGATGAAAGAAATCAAAGAGGACACAAA